CTATGCAAACATTGAAAATTTGAAATATGTGTATTTTGACAGGATATTATTTAAAAAAGTTAAACAAACAAGACCATGTGTCATGACAGTTTACACCAGTGTTTTAAAACTCAAATCGGTCATCAACTCGGTTGAGGTACTGGGTCACTGGTTCAACCGAGTTCAACTTGATTTACTATTCATATATTGAAAAATATAAATATATTACTTGTATTAAAAATTCACATAAGAAAACTATCAATAATGGGCTTTAAAAAATTAAAAAAGGGGGGGGGGGGAACAAGTAAAAAGCTGCAAATGAACACTTGTAATATGTCCAAACACTAAAATAAATCAAACACAAAAATGAAAATGCAAAACATAAAACCCAAATTGGTCTGAACTACACGAAAACATAAAACCAAAAGTTGGGCATAAGTATAACATGAAGTCATAAACAAACACAAAGGCCCTCCTAGTCCTTCACAATCTGATGAAACTTATAAGCCAATAATACACAATCTGATAAAAATTACTATACCCATGGTGGTAAAGTTGTATCAATAAATTTAGGCCCTCCTAGACCTTCTCCACCAATCTCATCCAAACATTGACTAACATTGCTTTCATTTTGGTTTGCAATAGCCATGTCTTGTACATCATCCTCAACTCAATTCTTCATTTGGAAGACTCATTTCCCAATTTGGAAGGTAAATTTGTTTTTACTTTTTAAGTAATTTTTCTTTATTTTATGATTTTCTTTTCCTATTCATAGTTGCTTCTGGGGAGATTGAATCTTCAAGTTCAAGCCATATTGGTGATGTGAGGGTGTTGGAGGAAATGAAATTGAGGAGGGATAAGATTCAAGCGGAATTAAAAATTGAACAGAGGCTGTTGGGGATGACATATTTCAATTTCTAAGAAAGAGGAAAAGCTTTTGCTAAGTTTATGGAGGAAGATTAGAAGATGAATGTGAAAATTTCTTTATGAAGATCTCTATATGCTAAGAAACATTCTAGCTGGTTTGCTCTTAATGAAAACAAGAAGAAATATTTATTCGTTGAGTATATGACTTCTTTTGCAATTTCCAGGTATCTTGAAGTTTTAGTTTTTTTTGTTTTTTGTTTTAGGTTTCTGTATTTTAATTGAGTGATGATGATTTATACAAACTTACCTATATAATACTTGCAGAAAATGCTAGATGATCTGGAGTCACTGACGAAGATAAAATTCCATGCGAAAAATATTAATCTTTTGAAGCCTCAAAAATTGAAATTGGACAACTCAATTGTTCATTTGGAAAACAAATTTCCCAATTTGGAAGTTCCATTTGTTTTTACTTTTTAAGGAATTTTTCTTTGCTTTATGTTTTTATTTTCCTATTCATAGTTTTTCTAGGGAGATTGAGTCTTCAAGTTCAAGCCATATTGGTAATGTGAGGGTGTTGGAGGAAATGAAATTGAGGAGGGACAAGATTCAAGCGGAATTAAAAGCTGAACAAAGGTTGTTGGGATGACATGTTTCAATTTCAAAGAAAGGGGGAAAACTTTTTCTAAGTTTTTAGAGAAAGATTAGAAGATGATTGTGAAAATTTGTATATTCTAAGTAAGATTCTAGCTGGTTGGCTGTTAATGAAAAAAAGAAGAAATATTTACTGTCATTCGTTGAGTATATGACTTCTTTAGCCATTCCAAGGTATCTTGAAGTTTTTCTTTTTTTGTTTTGTATTAAGTTTTTGTATTTTAAACGAGTGATGATGGTTTTTACAAACCTACCTGTATAATACTTGCAGAAAATGGTAGATGATCTGGATAAGTCACTCATAAAATTCCATGCGGACAAAATTAATCTTTTGAAGGCTCAAAAATTGAAATTGGACAGCTCCATTGTTCATTTGGAAGACTCATTTCCCATTTTGGAAGGTACATTTGTTTTTACTTTTTAAGGAATTTTTCTTTGTTTTATGTTTCTCTTTTCCTAATCATAGTTGCTTTTGGGGTGATTGAGTCTTCAAGTTCAAGCCACATTGGTAATGTGAGGGGGTTGGAGGAAATGAAATTGAGAAGGGATAAGATTCAAGCGAAATTAAAAACGAAATAGAGGTTGTTGTGGATGACATATTTCAATTTCAAAGAAAGGGGGAAAGCTTTTGCTAAATTTCTGGAGGAAGATTAGAAGATGAATGTGAAAATTTATTTATGAAGATATCTATATGCAAAGAAAGATTCTAGCTGATTTGCTTTTAATTACTATCATTCGTTGAGTATACGACTTCTTTCGCCATTCCCAGGTAACTTGAAGTTTTTGTTTTTTTTGTTTTGTATTAGGTTTCTAAATTTTAAATGAGCGATGATGGTTAATGCTTGCAGAAAACGCTAGATGATCTAGATAAGTCACTGACGAAGATAAAATTCCATACGGACAACATTAATCTTTTGAAGGCTGAAAAATTGAAATTGGACAACACAATTGTTCAATTGGAAGACTCTTTTCCCATTTTGGAAGGTACATTTGTTTTTACTTTTTAAGGAATTTTTCTTTGTTTTATGTTTTTCTTTTCCTATTCATAGTTGCTTCTGGGGAGATTGAGTCTTCTAGTTCAAGCCATATTGGTAATGTCAGGCTGTTTTAGGAAATGAAATTGAGCAGGGACAACGTTCAAGCGGAATTAAAAACGGAATAGAGGTTGTTGTGGATGAAATATTTCAATTTCAAAGAAAGGGGGAAAACTTTTGCTAAGTTTCTGGAGGAAGATTAGAAGATGAATGTGAAAATTTCTTTATGAAGATCTCTATATGCTAAGAAAGATTCTAGTTGGTTTGCTGTTAGTTTACTGTCATTCGTTGTGTACATCACTTCTTTCGCCAATCCTAGGTATCTTGAAGATTTTGTTTTTTTGTTTTGTATTAGGTTTCTGTATTTTAAATGAGTGATGATGGTTTATACAAACTTACCTATATAATGCTTGCAGAAAATGCTAGATGGTCTGGATAAGTCACTGACGAAGATAAAATTCCATGACGACAACATTACTCTTCTGAAGGCTGAAAAATTGAAATTGGACAGCTCAACTGTTTATTTGGAAGACTCATTTCCCATTTTGGAAGGTACATTTGTTTTAACTTTTTAAGGAATTTTTCTTTGTTTTAAGTTTTTCTTTTCCTATTCATAGTTGCTTCTGGGGAGATTGATTCTTCAAGTTCAAGTCATATTGGTAATGTGAGGGTGTTGGAGGAAATGAAATTGAGAAGGGACAAAATCTTCGATGAAAAAAATTTCTGTAAATAATTTTGACGAAAAAAATTTCGTCAAAATTCTTTACAGAATCTAAATTCCTTCTAAAGTTTTCGACGAAAATATTTTCGTCATATTTTTTTATGATAAAAATTTTCGTCAAAATTTTGGACAAAACATATTGTCATCGAACATTTTCGGCTGAAAATATTTCAGTCAAATTTTTTGAAAAAAACATTTCTATCAAATTTTCAACGAACACATTTCTGTCAAAAAAATTTGTCGAAAAATATTTCTGTAAAAAATTTCGATGGAAAAAATATTTCGTCAAAATTCTTTATGGAATCTAAATTCCGTCGAAAGTTTCAACAAAAATATTTCCCTCAAACATTTGACAAAAAAATTTCTGCCGAAATTTTCATCGTGACACATTTTTATCGAAAATTTTGTACAGAAATTATTCCGTCAAAAATTTTAACGAAATTCTTTTTCCGTCAAAACTGTTGATGGAAATTTTTTTCGTCAAAAATATTTAAGAAATCATTTTTGTCAAAACTTTTGGTAGAAACTAAATTCTATCGAAAAAAAAATTTGTAATTTTTTGATGAAATTTTTGTCGTTTGCAATATATAAATTTTGTCGAAAATATGATATTTTTTGGTAGGGTGAAAAATATATAAATAATTTTGTTTATGAATTTTAAATTTAATTTAATTTGTAAAATATATTATTTATATTAATTTTTTTAAAAAGGACAAAATTGTAAAAATATCTTATCAACCCTCTAATTTCTCCCTTATCATTTTTTTAACTCACAAACAATAGGGAAGGGAAGAGAATACCTTTCAAGTTCCTTTCCTTCCTTCTTCTTCCTTTCCCTTGATCCCTTTTCTTTCCTTCCGCTAAAGTTTTCACCAGTGTATATTGTGTGCGGAATGTTATGTGTGGCTTTGACAATTGGAACAAACACTGCCTTTTAACAACTGACGCTCTCCAACCGTTCATGTCAACAAGAAAAGAAGAGAATCCATGCCAGAGGTGTATGATCTCGATCGCACCATCAACTCCGCCAAGAAATTCATAAATGACTCCTTCTTCAGGAATGTCTCTTATATTAAAGAAATCAAGGCCATACTCCACGACCCTGTCCAACCTAATCCTTTCACCCGGTAATTGAGTTCATGCGATACTTATTATGGACAATTTTATCATCAAAGTTAATTTGTAGTTATTAGAATCGCATAAATACCCAAATAAAAATATCAGATAAAATAACTGAAAGATGGCAATGAAAAAGAGAAAAATAAAAACCAAGATGACAGACACAATATAAACTCAATTTATTTCCACAAAATCACCATAAATACCAACGGCCAAGAGTCTAGTATTTGAATGATAATAATTTTGATGGCATGCATAACTGAGTATATATATCCTATGCATGCCATCAAAATTATAAAGAATATGTCAAATAGTGTATTGCAAAATAAAATTGAAGAAGCAAATAAAACGTTGTATCACTTTATTCAAGCACTTTATTTCCATTTCAGAAAGATTAAAATATATATTACTGTCATTTTTCTCTACAAGGGAGGAAAATAAAGAAATGGAAAGTTTTAAAAAAAAATAAAAATTCATACATTGTTAGTGATAAGTATCTTTTTTTTCGGGTACATTATTTTTTTTTTTTCCAAAAATGGTCGAGGTGATTTATTTTGAGATCATAACTCGCACTCGTTAGCAAAATGATAAAGCCAGATAAAATATAGGCCCAGTAGTTAGAGGCCCATTAAGGACCACATGCATTCCATTGTTGGAACCACATGGATTCTCTTCAACGTTCTAGAATGGGTTGATCAGGACTACGACGCGGGAGAAAAACAAAAAAAAACAAACTACACGTGCCAAATAGCTTCTTTTTTCCATCAAAGAAAGCCTTTACAAAGAATAGATGTTATTACCAACAAATGGATACAATGCTTGGTGCAAGTAACAAGTGAATGATGGCAGCAGATTTTTTACCCTGCCCAGAAGGAAAATGGACATTCAGGCTGAGCTGCAAGACCCAGATAAAGCACAGACTAAGCTGAAACCATTTCGAAGTTAGATTGAGTCTCAGTCATGATTGCATAATCTAATAGGACCCCAGGGTGATAAACAAAGAGATAGAACTGCTTCAAATTTTGCAAAGAAAACCCTTTTCAGAAGAACAGAATTGACACACCCATTGTAAAACATCCCGCAGCCACCCAAGGGCTTAAACGTTCACCTGCAAAATGTCATGTCAATAGAAGTAGTCAATTACCTCAAACAGGAGGAGACTTAAATCCAATGCAACATCCTTCACCCAAAACAAGACCACACTGAAGAGGGGCATAAAGAAAAGAAAAAACCTAACCAGAGAATTGCTCCCTAAGTCAGTACAGTTGCAGTTACGTAGTGACTAGAATCCATATATCACATTGTGGCTGAGTTACCATTCTTTAAATAAAGAGTCAATGATTAAATGAATAACAAAATTAGTCAAACCTTTTCTTTGAATGAACAGCAAAATCAGCTGAACTTTTTCTCCTACCAAATTCAACTAAAAAACAAACTTCCCTTTGAAAAAATTAAATAAAAGCGTAAACAAGTTATACAACAATTAGTCACTTAGTCTTTGAAGGCTGACATTATAATTTTGTGTAACAAAAATTCTTGTGGTGATGATCCTTTTGATTAATGAGAAAGCAAAAGAGAACATGCTGTAAACAATGTTGAGACCATGTGCAAGCTGAGCAAAAGATCCTAACTGCCGATTCTAGGAGAAATTTAAACAAGTATAAGAAACTAACCTATTCTAGCAGCCTTCCAAAAGAATCCCCGAAACCTGCATGGTGACAGTAAAACAACTGTATGAGCATCTGAAAATCTTATACAAGCTACTATATTTGTTAATTTAAATTAAAGCAGAAAGAGAGGACTGGTCCTTGATGCATAATTGAACAACCAAAAAGCCACGAGAAGAAAGACACCAAGAGAAACAAGTACACAATGAAACTATTTCCTATTTAATGCAACTTGTATGCATATACACAATCACAAATGTTATCCTTTATAGGACAGACCCAGGATTAGAGATTGGTCATATAAAAGTCATTCCTTAACTGTTTGTTTTGAAGAGATGAAATGTGAAAAGTACAGCAAAAGATTTTGGGAGAAATGACCTATTTTCATTCCCTCTATTTCCTTTCCCCTCACACAAATGCTAAATTTTTAGGTGACATGGATTAAGTGTCATACTGCAGCAATGCTTCAAATCTTTAAAGAGTATTCTGTGAAAAGTCTCAACTTACATCAGATTCCTCAACTACTTTAACACCAATCTAAACAGGGCGCTGCTTTCCATAATCTTAAACATGGGATCATCATTCACCCGGAGTTCATTGGCAATTTTATGTTGCAATCAATGCATAGTTTGAGAGAGGTGAGAAGAATGAATATGTGCATGAACAAAAACAAGAGAAAATCATTATACAAAGAGCATTCATATTCCTCCCGTTTCCCCCAAAGAAAGCCTAATAGTCCATCTGAGAATAAAGAGATGATTATAGTCCCATTGAGTGCCATTTTAAAGCTTCCAAACAATCACTCTTTCACTGTAGCATGAAATACTTACAATAAAAAAACCCTTGTTGAAATTTTTGCCACATATTTAAAATGTAATTACTAGTCTCAGTCCCAAACAAGCATATGGACTGCAGTATCACTCCATTGCCTACCATATCTAAGTAAAATGTAAAGATGATATGCAAAATTTTGACAATGAGATCCATTCTATGGGTATTAACCATTCAGGATATCACATCACACTGATGTTAAAACCACTTAGGGAACCTTTAGTCCTTATGTTGAGAACCCATGAAAACACTCATCAGCACGCTCTCACAGACGATATCAAAAGAAGAAGAAAACAAAACATTCAACATTAATAATTGAAAATTTGACAACATTAACTTTAACGTCAACAATGAAAATGACAGAAGATTTATTTATTTTTATTACCCAGTTTTCTGTTCGAGGATGGCGGGAAACTGCATCTTCAGAAAGGTGCAGGCACAAATCACCAGCAGCACCACCGTCAGAAAAGAATGGAAGTTAAAAAGAGCTGACTGCAACACATGAAAAACAAAACCATAAAGGCTACAGAGATTCGAACAAAGCAGAGTGATAAGAACGAAATGAAACAATTGAGTTAGAAAAAGAAAAGCAAGTACCATATCTGGGTATGTGAGAATTTTACTGCAACGGAGCTTGTTGTCTTGGAATTCGATTGGATCTGCGAGGAATTAAGGGTTGAAGGGGAGTTCCTTATACTGTTGAGGCTACACCGTCAATGACTTGCATTTGCATCTTTGGTGTTACGATACACGCAGTCGCAGGAGCAAGTTCAAGTCGCCGATGAGACCACCTACCAAATGTCACCGTCTTTTGCTACACAGATGCACCTCAATTTTGACGGCGAGCCGTTCTAAGCCTCAAACTTCTGTTTTCACTGTTTGGCTGATTCGAAGAAAATAAGTAAATACACATTTTATATTTTGGGGAAAGTTATTCTAGTTTCCCTTGATTTATAGTGTTTTTTTTGGGGAGAAAAATTTATAATTTTAAATGATACAAAGTCATGTTATTTTTAATGAAATTATGTTTGATGTGTTTTTACATTTTTTTTGTTTAACTTTTTTTTTCTTTTTAATTTTATAAAAAAATAATAAAACACACCAAAACAATTTAATTTTATTAAAATAATATACATATATGTTATTTAAAATGATAAATAATTATCCCTTTTGTTTTGACAGTCCTCATTTGCTAGTTGAAATGGCCTATGATACACGGGCACTGAAATGGGACACGACACGAAACGACACGTCGAAACGTTAATTTTAAAAAATGACATATTTTGACACGTTGAGACACGTTTTGATATTAAATAATTTAATATATATAATATAATTTATATTTAATAAATATAACAATCTATAATAAGTCATATAACCAATCAAATATTTAAATTTCATAAATAAATATAAACAAAAATAATTTTTTGTACCTTGTTAATTTTTCATGTCAAATTTCATAAGAGAAAAAATTGATTTATAAAAGATTTTTTTTATTTTTAGTTAATAAAATAAAATTAAGATTAAAAAAAAATGTGTCCGAGCGTTGACCACGTATCGAAAAGAGTTGACTGTGTGTCCAAAAAAGTATCGTGTCCGAGAATTGACCATGTGTCATAAAATATTAAGTGCATATCGAATGCGTGTCCGAGCGTGTCGGAATGTATCCGTGTCGGACACGTATCCGACACGCACAACGAGTCCGTGTTTCACAGGAAATGTCAACGCTACTCTTTTGATGCCATGGTAAACCATATTTTTACATAGATTAATTAAATAAAATATTTGAATTATTAAATATATATATATTATTTTAGGGTTCGTTCTTTCTGCAGTAACTGCAGATAAGTTATTTACAAGAAGCCCAATACGACATCGTTTTGGGGCGGAAATCATGATACTTTTAAAATTTTAATTTATTTTAGGGTTATTATAGTCTTTGTAATTATAATTTTTTAATTTTTCAATCCCAAAATGACGTCGTTTTGGGAATAAATGCTGATAACTTATCTACAGTAACTACAGAAATATTTTTCTGATTATTTTATAGAGTTCATGGGTTCTAGGGAAACAACAGAGAGTTCTAGGGTTCAAAAAACTCTCAAATTTAAAATTAAGGGGGTGTTTGGTATAAAAGAAATTTTTTTTGATCGGAAAGAAAAATTGCATGAGAATATGATGAGAAGTTTTTGTTACCGGGTAAGTAACGAAAAGGTGTTTGGTAGGCCAAAATTTTGCAGGGAAACTTAGGTTGATTTTACTAAGGGCCCGTTTGGATGAGCTGTTTTTTCTTCAAAAGCTGCTTTTTTTTCAAGAAAAAAAGCACTTCTCGTTTTTAGTTCGTTTAGATGTTTGCTTTTAAAAAAAGTAGAAGTCATAAAAAAAGTCAAAAACCTATTTTTTCCAGAAGTTAAAAATTTTAACTTCTAAGAAAAACAAAAGTCAAAAGCCAAATATTTTTTAAAAAAACTAAATGTTTTTATAAAAATATAAATAGCTTTAACTTTTATAAAAAACACTTCTAAAAATAAGAAAGGATAAAAGTTACTTTTTGAGAAGCCCAAACAAACAGGCTCAAAGGTATGTTTGGTTGATTGTAAAAAAATGATGAAAATATTTACTGAAATTACGAAAATATCCATGAATTTGAATATTGTTGAAATTCGTATTTTTTTTATACGTTCATCGTCATTTTCTCTCTCTCCGTGGAAGAGCGTTTGGTCTAACAAGCATCTGTAGATTTTTTTGTAACAAGTAGAAATTCTGACCGTGTGAAGCAGGGCATTTTCATCATATTATGGTGTCAAAAAAAAGTAACTACCCCTACAATGACAAAAAATTTCAACCCATTTGTGTACAAAGTGAAAAGACACTCAGCTTTTTTTCCCAGACACTTTTTTCCTAATCCTCCTATCAAAGATGGAGATATTATTTTTCCTATTCTGTTTTGATGGCCAATTTTTTTTTTTGCCCCCTACAAAATAGCCTCCAAGTACATTACAAGTTGAAGCTATCAGAGGTTGCAAAATGACAAAAAAAAAACAGATGAATCTTGTGAGGAGAAAAACAAATAAAATTAGAAGAAGAAAAATGAAATCATACCCTTATGTGAAGGAGAAGAACGAGTAGAAAAAAAAAAAGAAATTAGAAGATCTCAAGAAGCAAAAATCATGAGAAGAAAACAAAATTGGAGAACAACGACAAGAAAGATAAATTGGAAATTTAGAGTTTAAGAAAGAAAAAAAAAACAATTAGGCTGTCCTGCAATTAAGCCCATCTTAGCCCAATGAGGATTAATGGGGCTAGGGTAAAAAATAACCCTATCACATATGGGTTAAAAGAAAAATGGGTTGAAAATTAGGGTTATAGAGCTCTAAGCAGTGTTTTAAAATCCGGCCAGGTCGACCCGGGACTTGGTGACCCAGTGGGTTCCCCGGTCCGAGCGGTTAGTTAGACCGCCTCTGCAGTCAACTCAGATTGAACCGGTTGACCCGGCTGAAACTCGGCGACTCGGTTGATCCGGGTTAGACCGGTTATTACTTTTTTTTTGGTAATTTTTTTTTGTTGATAAGAACTCTTGAATTAAATCATATTCATATTTTATGGTGAATATGATTAAAAGTAAGGTGAAAATAATAAGGTATTTTAGATTAATGCAGTTTGTTTATGTAATTTAGTTGTATCTTATAATGATCTAATGAAGTTAAGTGGTGATAAACACTTATGATCTCATGACCTCATCTCAACGGTGGGCACTTTTTTCTTAGTGTATATTTCATTCATACTATTTGTTATCATAATAACGGTGACACTTTTTTCTTAGTGTGTATATTTCATGCATATTATTTGTTATCATGATTTAATTTATTTGTATCATGTCAAGCACAAAAGGTGCATTTAACTTATATTGCAATTTTAATCCAATATTAGGATATGATCTAGAGCTAGAAGCTTAAAAGTATATAATATTTGCTATCATTGTAAATCAATTTATTTTTTGAAGTTCATTGATAGTTTTCTTACGTGAATTTTTATTAATATAAGTAATATTTTTATATTTTTAATATGTGAACAGTAAATCCGGTTCAACCCGGTTGAACCAGTAACCCAGTATCTCAACCGATTCGAGTTTTAAAACACTGGCTCTAAGCATTCTTATTAAAATTAAGAAAAAATGAATAAATTCGTGAAGACATGCTGAGTTTAATATGCAACCAAATAACAACATCCTAATCTTGAACAGCATAGATAGAATTTGAACCAGGGCTCGTTGATAAATATATATGATTAATTATTATTTTTTGAAAGAATACATGTATATTAACTACAAACTAATAATAAATACAGATAGTGGTTAAATATAAACTTTTAGAACATGTCTTATTTCTAATCTCACTTTTGAAGTTGCTCACATATGTCAACTCACTATACTACCAATTTGTTTTTATTTTTTTTTAAGGAGAGAAAATTATGTCATTTTAATTTAAACTATAGTATTTTACTAAATATTTAAATTAAAAAATCTATCAATAATTTTTTATTCTTACCATGATTTTTTATCCTGTAACCTCTATCACACCATAAAACACAATAATTTTAATTAAAATGTCACAATTCTATGTGTTTTAAGAGGAGAAATACTTATGTACTAAAAAATAAAAGAGGAGAAATACTTTTACAAAAATTGTTAAAATTAAGGGAATAACATCTATGCTTTTAAAGGGTATAAGTTTATATCATTTTAGATCCTAACCGTTGATTTCTGTCCATCAACGGTTATAATTTATTGGATTAAAATTATTAATTAATTAATAATAAATTTGGCCCATTAAATTTGACCCAATAGATTATAACCGTTGATGAACGAAAATCAACAGTTAAGATCTAAAAAGATATAAACTTATATCCTTCAAAGGATAAATGTTTTTCCCTAAAATTAAACAATTTTTCAGGAAAAAAACAACATAGCAATTTTGATTTGAATAAGCGGCACAGCTAAGAAACGACATTCGTTTCATCTTGCCACGAGAACGGCGACGCCCTCGCCCTTCCCGCGCTCTCCCCTAGCAAATTTTGGCGATGAAAGATTCAAAATCTTTTGGAACTAAAAAGAGTTAAGTACATCAGTCACTCTCCTCTGCTTGGATTGTGTCTACACTCAGTTTCCGTTTGCGTGAGGGCACAATGACAATGGGGAACTCGAAACGATGGACGGTGACCTACACAAAACACATCAAACAGAAACGCAAGGTCTACCAAGATGGATTCCTAGAGCTCCACATTTCCACCAGCAAGGTATTCTCCTCAACTCTTTCACCGTAAGTTACTGAATTTTTTTTAAATCGATCGTTGGATTGGATCGGTAATTGATGTTGATACTGCTCAATCACAAAATTCTCACAAAGTGCCGACATGGAAAATCGATTTCAGAAAAAGTAACTTCTTTCTTCGATCAATCATTGTGCAGATCGCGCTGTATGATGAGTGCGAGAAACTGTTGGAGTGCAGGCTGTTGAAGAAAGACGAAACTGTTACCACTGGTGAGTCTTTGGTTTTCGATGGTTACCTTATTGACATTGGTAGTCCCGAGGGACACAACAAACCTGAATCTGATTCAAATGTTGATGGAAAACGGAAGAATGATTACAAATTCAGGACTCCTTTTGGTATGAACTTTCTGATTGTTTCTTTAAAGTTTATATATATTCCTTTTCTAATAATCTAGGAATTTCAAGTTCTTAATCATAATTTTCTGCTTATGTCTTTCTGGTTATGAGATGGTGCAAAAGATACGAAAATGAATGCAAAGGAGAGTACTGCGCGGACACTTGCACGGAAACCTCTCAGTCCTTCACAAAAAATTATCAAAGGTTTGACA